CATCTTAGCTGTAGAGGGCAGTGTCACTGGCCCTCATATATGGAATCTGAACAGGGGTCCTCTGGCGTCCCACGCTAGCTCTTAACCAGCGCGCCACTTGGCCGGCTCTGAAGTCCCTGTCTTATTGTTTTACTTTCATCTTCTCCTCGTGGCTTATAGACATTTAGCAGATTATGTTTCCTTCGTGGACATTTTGCAGGCATAAGGGTTTTGTTGTAAAAAGGCAAGATCTGTTCAAAGAAGCCCCTGTGGATTTTCATGATTTCCTAATTCTAAACACACTATTAAATAGTATTATTTCTTGAAATAAACTGGCTTCTCTATATTTCTCATTGAGAGAAAAGCTATCCACATTTTTTATTCAAATTTCATATTCAACAAATTCTTATTTAATATTAAAAAAAGATAAAATTTCTTATTGCAAATAATCTCTTGCTCTTTCAACAGCTTCTTTGAATTAGCACACGTAATGGCCCATCATGTGGAGTTCCCAAGGAGACTGAATTCTAAGCACATAATTTCTCACCCTATTAAACACGTTCATTTCTAATGAAGATGTGAATCAATACCATATAGCTTTGAGCAGTTGCCATAAAGCTGAAAAGTATTTTTTCTTTGAAAACTTGAATCACATTTTTCAGAGGACCTATGGACTTGGTTCTTTAGTATGCAGAAAGAATAATATAACATATTTCCTCAATTCGAATGCCTACTTCCATCAGTCCCCTGCACTCTTGTGTTCCTGATATCAAAATGAGTCTTATAATTGACCTGTGCATTTAATATGACGTTATTTCTCTTGCCCAACAAGAAAAAAGCTGTTAAACTGACTGTACGGTGCTATAGTCTTCCACAGTGGAGAAAATGGATACTTATCTCACCTGTATTATTTTGGTGTAGACGCCTTGTCCAAATTCACAGCCACTATGACTCACCAAGACAGAACCGTCGATATAGATGTGGACTAGAGCGGCAGCCTGGTGGGGAAGAATTATAATACCATTTTGGAAACTGATGCGGCCAAATGTTGCTGTGAGTTTGGCTGAGTCTGCAAAGTGAATGTTTGCTTCACTGAGCCCATCTCTCATTGTTTTTACTGGAGAAGAAAGCTATGATTGGTGATGATAGACAGCCCCCCAGACTTGAAAACCAGCACTGTAGGTAGACCAATGGTGGTTCATCATCTCTACTCTCATCGTCTCCTGCCTACCTGGGGGCCTTGTGTGGTTGCCTTGGAAGTGCCTCTCCAAAGCATCAAACTGTACAATATTTTATTATTCATTCCTCCCTGCACATAAAGATTAATTTTAAAGTAAGTGGAACCTGTATGAGTAAATTTCCAGGCACAACTTCCATTGTATACTAGAGGAACTGGGAAAACCTTGGAATGTTTTAATAGTTTCCAAATACTTCTGACCTTTAGAATTATGGTAGGGGTGTGGCATGGCCCCGTTTTGGAAATTCCAATTCATTAGAAAGTTGGAGGTGGAGCCCATTTTTTTTTAAAAGATTTTATTGGGGAATTGGGAAAGGAAACAGTGTTGGGGAATTGGGGAAGGGGAACATGGTGTTTTACCAGGACCCATCAGCTCCAAGTTAAGTTGTTGTCCTTCAATTTTAGTTGTGGAGGTCGCAAGCTCAGCTCCAAGTCCAGTTGCCACTTTCAATCTAGTTGGGGGGGGGAGGGGAGGGATTGCAGCCCACCATCCCATACAGGAGTTGAACTGGCAACCTTGTTGTCAGGAGCACATGTCTCACCAGCTGAGCCATCCTGCCACCTGTTGGCAGCTCAGCAGCAGCTCAGCTTTGGCACAGCTCACTGGGTCATGTGGGAATCGAACCCGCGATCCTCTTGCTCAGAGCTCATGCTCTAACCAACTGAGCCACCCAGCCAGCCCCCCATTTTATTTTATTTTTTTTAAGCTCTCAGGTGATTTTGATGATGGCCACATTTGGGATCCATTGATTTAGTTTAAATTCTTAACTTTGCATGTGGGGGAATAGAAGCCTAGAGAGGAAGGGGCTTGGTCAAACCCAGTGCCTAGTTTGTGGTAAAGTCAGGAATGGAATCCACAACTCCTAAATTGAGCCCAGCGTCTTCCACACACATGCCCTGTTGCCACCTTCAAACTAGCTGCTGTTGTGGCTCTCTGGGACTGAGCATGTGGCTCAGGAACCAGACCAAGGAGGGAGGGAAGGAGGAGGCTGGGCTATGTCAGGTGGTTCTGTAAGTGATTCGAGTTTTTCTTTAGAGCGGTCCCCATCATATGCTCATGCACGTGGCCTACCATCCTGCATCTACCCACTTGGGACCTCTATTCCCATGTTGATGCCTATGCCCTTGCTACCATGCATTCAAAATATCAACTGATTTAGCTAAGCCAGTCTCCTGGGTCTGAGACTGTGGTCTCAGGACCATCAAGTTCTCTACAGGAACTTTTAAACTTTGTGCTTTCATCTCATGTCTATTTAAGAAGAGTAATGGATGACCATGTATCAAAGGGTATTGCCACATGCTTTCAGGGCCCATGTTAGATTTTACATTGACGATTGTATAAGCACCAAGTAGGACTACTTTAATTGATGGGGCATATTAGAGACAAAAGGTGGACTAGTGAGTCATCATACTCTACATAAACATTTAGGATAAAGACTTCAAAATGACTTCAAGTGCAAGGGCAGCCAGAACCACCATCATTTTGTGAGTATTTAGTTTTAGAAAAGCAACATCATCTACCACATTAAGTTAATGTTACTATTTTGAATATTACTGGCACTTATAGTACTACTTTTATTTAATTTTATTTAATTTAATCCGAATTCATTTGTATTTTTTAAAGGCATAAGAGCTATAAGAAGCTTATTGTTGCTTTGTGGTTACACACAGTTAAGTAACATTAAAGTAAATAATTTAAGCAACCATTTAGAGTCCACGAAAAATTTCTTTTTTTTCCTTTAAAGGGGGTCAGTTTGTTATTCTGGCTTCAGAAATACTGCCTGGGGAAACGGTTGAACATCTGCTCCAAGTGTGCAGTGCTCCTGGCCTTCTCCTCCTTCCTTCTCATTTTGCTTGCTACCTTGTCAGTGGACTCTGAGGAAGGCTGTGGCAGAATAGAACTTTGCTAAGAGACAGCTTGGGCATCCCTCATCCACATCATGAGGAGGCCTAGATTCTTTCCTTTGCACAGATTTGCTTATGGGGACATTTCAGAGATTGATGGGGATAGAAGCAAAACAATAAATAAATAAATAAATAAATAAATAAATAAATAAATAAATAAATAAATAAATAAATAAATAAATAAAAGACAGAATCAGAAACTGAACCCCATATAAAACTGTTCAAGGTGAAACTAAAAAGAAGGCACTATAGTCATGGAACTTCAATATGGTAACTCCGGATTTCTATGTGAATGGGGAAGCTCTGTCTGTTCTTATGTGTTGTTGTTGTTGTTGTTTTTTAAAGATTTTATTGGGGAATTGGGGGAGGGGAACAGACAAGTTGCTGTCCTTTTGTTGTTCAGTCTAGTTGTGGAGGACATCGCTTCACTGGCCCATGTGGGTATTGTGATCATTGTGCTCTTCCCGGGTGAGGCAGTTGCTCGCTGGCCATTGGATGGCCACTCGTGGAGGCTCATGGCAGCTCACAAAAGCTTACACCCACTGCCGGACAGCCCCACTGCAGCCTACGCCATCGCTGGCGACTCATGGCAGCCCAGCTCCAGGTTGAGCTATTGTTCATCATCTTAGCTGTCGAGGGCAGTGTCACTGGCCCTCATGTGGGATCCGAACGGGGGCGCTGCTGCTCAGCACTGGCGTCCCAAGCCGGCTCTTAACCAACGCGCCACTCGGCCGGCCCCTGTTCTTATGTGTTTTTGAAAGCTCTGTCTTCAAATGGCTCTACTGCCGTCATTAAGAAATTAGGAAAGAGAGAAAGGGATCCTCTTGCTACCCCTAATTCTTTCATGAATTTGAAATTTGACCTCGTATCTCAATACTCACGTTTGGAGCCCTGCCCAAGGCCAGACCCCCTTGAGCTGGGCTTTATCAGTTGATTGCTTTCTGAGGTCTCAGGTACTATGTCACACTAGGTCTTCTTTGATCATACATCAAGGTCCCCAGTGCTTGGCTAAATCCACTTTGTTCCCTGCTATAGGAAACTGCCTCACTTTCTTCTGTCTCCAAAAGGGGACCATGCCTAGTTGCTCACGATAGCCTTTTTCAGATAGCTAGTCATGTGAAGAAAGGCTTTTGGTGGAAAAACATTTCTCCCAACCTCACCTGATTAAAGTAGGTCTCGGGCATCCCAATGGTAAATTTCATGGGGATCACGGCAAGCCCCTTTTTCTTCCAGTAATTCTTTTTGTTAAATTCCTCGGCAGCCAGTTTCCTAGCATAGAATGAAGATTTCTCCAGACATTTTTTCCAGCATTTTCGCAAGGGCTCTGGGTTAATCATCTCCTTAAAGGCTGTTTGGCTACATCTCTTATACATGTTGATTTCTCTAATCTGAAAGGCAAGAAGATTAAAAGGATTTCAAAGATACATGCTTATTCTATACATGAAGCATCTGTTTTTGTTATACATCTGACATGAAGAAAGTCTTTCTAAAAAAAGAAACAGCTACTTAAATGGCTATAAATATGTAAATGCAAATGTAAATACATAAACATAATGATAATAACAATAATCATAATAACAATAGAAACTACTATTGAACACTTTATATGATCCAGGCTGTAGGCTAAGTGTATGATCTTAATTAACCTTACAGTAATCCTGAGAAATAGTAGGTACTATTATGAGCCCTATAACAAGTTTTGTTAGGGGTGAGACAAAATTCTTCTGACTCAAAATTCTTCTACTCTTACACAACTTTTTTTTTTTTTTNTTTTTTTTTTAAGATTTTTATTGGGGAATTGGGGGATGGGAACAGTGCTGGGGAATTGGGGGAAGGGGAACAGACAAGTTGCTGTCCTTTTGTTCCCCAGTTCAGCTGTGGAGGACGCTGCCTCACTGGCCCAAGATGGCACCATCATTGCACTCTTCCTGGGTGAGGCAGATCAGTCGCCAGCTTCTGGACGGCCGCTCACAGCGGCTACTGGCCACTCACGCCGGCCGCTGGCCACACACGGTAGCCCATGGCAACCCACTGCAGCAGGGGCCACAGCCTACACCGTCGCCAGCGACTCACAGCAGCCCAGCTCCAGGTCGAGCTGTTATTCACCATCTTAGCTGTAGAGGACAATGTCACTGGCCCCCCTGTGGGACCTGAACCGGGGCCCTGCTGCTCAGAGCTGGCGTCCCAAGCCAACTCTTAACCAACACGCCACTTGGCCAGCCCTGTTTCATTATTCTTAACTGTCCTCAAATTAGTTCCTCAAAACCTGAACTACAGTAGGTAGAATGTTTGCATAAATGGCTGTAATAATGCCACCCTCCCTATTAATGCCCTTCAGTGGTTTCACACCAACTCTGGGATTGGCCATGTGACTTGCTTTGGCCAATGGGACAACACATATGTAATGCAGGCAAAGACTTAAAAAGTGCTTATGCATTAGGGCTTTCCATGTTCTTGCTACTCCTGGAAACTCTCTGAACCACCATGAGAACTAATCTGGGCTAGCCTACTGGAGGATGAGACACCCTGTGGAGTAGAGATGAGCCTTCCCAGCTGAGACACCCCTGAGACTGATCAGCCAATAACTACCAGACATGGAAGTGAAGCTGTCTTAAACATAAAACTCCAGTTAAGCTGACCCAGACCAGAAGAGCTACCCAGCAGCTGACTTAACAGAATTGGAAGAAATACCATTTGTTGTTCTAAAGTAGTAAGTTTTATGATTGACTTGTTACCCAGCAAAAACTAACTGATAGATAGAAAATATATTTTATTTCTTTAAATCTACGTAGAAGCTGACATAAGTCTATACATAGGTGCTCAGTATTTATTTGAATCAAATGATGTCAGAGTTTTGTTAGGCCCCTAACAGTTAGGGGGTTTTGACTGATTACTTACCTCTTCAGGTAGTAAGTTACACTGAGATGCCACAGCAGCTATATAAGACTCAACTACCACTGTAGCCTGGGGAAAGCCAAATCCTCGAAAGGCAGTGTTAGATGGCAAATTTGTTTTGCAAGCCCTACCCCGGCACCGGAAATTAGGAATATGATATGCATTTTCAGATTTTAGCACAGCAAACTCTATCACCTGCAAAACAAAACAAAACTTCTTATTTATCAAATATTCAAAACCACTTATTCAAATTTTATCTCTAACTTGAATCCTTCACAAAATCTAATTTATAAGACAAATATTCATGCAGATAAAGTGTGGCACGTACAGCTTAACAGGTAACCTACAGAAAGGCACATTTCTTATTTACCGTCTCAGATTCATCAGGCGTGCATCCACCGTTGATATAATATTGAAGATCAGCAGCCTTGATCACACCATTATTCATGAATCCAATCTTAAAAGTGATATAACAAATGAAACTGTTTTTTTTAACCATCCTTTACAACCAGACCGTGCTGTACACAAACACATCTGATCATGGTTGTCAATCCATACCCAACTTCTGCACATGATTTGATGTGACAGCCACCAGAACATTGAGGATGGTGACCAAGTTGATCATGATTCCAACAGAACGTTCTGATTAGTTTTAGGTAGCATTCAAATATCCTTTTCAATTGTCTTTACTATTGGCTGGTTATCACCAAACAATATTTTACTTTAGGCAGGTTCTTGAAAATTTTGCTTTCACTCACTTTGTATTTTCCAAGGAGTGGGTGGCGGCCAGCAGTTATCAGCATGTCATCATCACGCTCTAGAATAAACCGGATTGGGCGGCCAATCCTATAGGAAATGATTCTGTTAATACGCTGGATGCTTCATAAAGTTGTAGAAACACAGAGATGATGAAAGGCGGCTGCAGATAATGTAGGTTAATGGCTTTCAATGGGGGTAGTAACATACCTTAAACAACATTTTGGAACTTTGTGAGGACATTAAAATGTAAAAACAAACAAACAAACAAAAACCCTATTACTATTATCATTCTGGTTTAGTCATGTCTGAGAATTTAATTATTGAAATGGTACATTATTTGATTATAAGTTACCTTCCTTTTATTTCTTTTTTATATTATATTAAGGCATTGTATGAATAGTTTGCAATTATGTGTATAAGTAGGTTATATTATTAGCAATTTGGATAGTAAAGGGGGCATTAAAATACTTGCCATAAGGGGAATGTTGGGGCTGAAAGGGTTGAAAACCAATGCCCTATTGAGCTTAACCCCTCTACATTCAGACTCCCCTTCATAAAGTGCCCATCAAGGACTCCTCTGGACTTTAAGACAGTCTTGTTTTACTGCTGGAAGTGCCAAACAACTAAGATGTTCACAGTTTTTTTTTTGTAGCTATAGCCTGGGATAAATTTTTCCTAAACATACTTAATGAACTTTGGTATGTACAGGTTTACAAAAATCATGGCTATTCCTGTGTCTGGTTATTACATCTGGATGATACAGAGACTAAGTGAACATTCCCAGGTCGCAGCAGACCCTGGTGTATTTCATGACAAAACGTGTCCCTTGTAAGTTTGGGGCTTTGACCATCCCTCCACTCTACCATCTCATGCTTGATTTATTTTAACAATTTAAAACAAACATTTTAAAGAGTGAAAGTCAATGCAGTTCACAAAAAAGTAATACATAGTTATGTCTGTGCAATGAGTCAAAATTTACAGTGATTGCATTTATTCCACACAGCTATCTTGTGAAACAGGTAGATATTATTTTTCTCACTTTACAGGTGAGGAAACTGAGGTGAATTGCCTAATGTGACCTTGTGAATGAGTGGCGAGAGCAGGACTTGAACACAGATCCTCTGGCTCCACGTCCAAGGTCCTTTCACCCACATGCTAACCATAACCCTTTGGAAATGAAAAGCTATGACCTATGGAATGAAAGCTGGGATGCAGGGCTGGAAGGGTATGGGTGGCATCTGCCCTGCTAGGACTTCTGACATCAATAGCTGTCACTGTGACTCTTACTTGTTGGCAGCCACAGCACAGACAGCTCCTAGAAGTGCGGGCTTGGTCACTTTCCCCCCAAATGCTCCTCCAGCTCGTCTCATGTGGCAGGCAATTCTACTTCTTGGGACGTTTAGCGCTGCAGCCACAAATTCCTGCAAAAGTTAAGTCCCCAAAGCCACATAAGTGCAGTTTAATAGTTTATTTCCTCACTCAGGTACTTCTCCTCTGCTTAATAAAAGAAATTCGGTAATTCAACAAATACAACATTTACAGAATGATGCAACCATCATCACAATCTAATTTTAGAATGTTTTAAGCATCCCCAAAGAAACCTTTTATCTGTTAAGCAGTCACTCCTAATCTCCCCCAACCTCAACTCCCCCTAACACCCTCAGCACTAGGCAACCACTAATCTGCTTTCTGTCTCTATAGATTAGGCTGTTCTGAACATTTCATATAAGTGAATAATACAATATGCAGTCTTTTGTGACTGGCTTCTTTCATTCAGCATTATGTTTTCAAAGTTCATCTATGTTGTTGCATATATCAGTACTCCAGTTTTTAATAACTGAATAATATTCCATTGTATAGCAATCTCTCTCTTTTTTTAAATTCATTCATTAGTTGATGAATATTTGCATTGCACCCAGTTTTGGGTATTGTCAACAATGCTGCTATGAACCTTGGTGTAGAAGTTTTTGTGTGGGCATATGTTTTCATTTCTCTTGGGTAGATAGATACCTAGTCGTGGAATTGCTGAGTAATGTGGTTAGTCTATTTTTAACATCCTGAGAAACTGCCAAACTGTTTTCCAAAGTGACTGTGCCATTTTTTATGCCCACCACCAATGTATGGCAGTTCTAATTTCTCCACATCCTTGCCAACACTTCTTATTGTCTGTCCTTTTGATTATATGTTCTACTGTGTATGAAGTGGTATTTTTGTGATTTTGATTTGCATTTCCCTAGAAACTAATGATGTTGAACATCTTTTCATGTGCTTATTGGTCATTCATAGACCTTTTTTGGAGAAATGTCTATTCAAATCCTTTACAGGGCCTGCTTTTGATACTGCCTCAGGTTCTAGGCTGTGGGCTTTGAGTACCCAGTGTCCTACTTAACCCTGGGAAATGCCTGCTGTCATGGAGCTGACTGATTATACCCCAAAAGGTGTTGATGGTAGTCAACAATAATGACTTTGGCACATACATGTTATCCACTTGGAGCCCAGAGCCAGATAATGTCTACTAAAAGAGGCCTCAAAGGTGATTTTTGTCACCTTCCTCAATTTACAAAAAAAGATATTGCTGCCCAGTGACTTGGGGACAAAGCCTATATCTCCTCACTCCTTTGTCCACTTCAAAACTTGCAACTGTGGAGGCTGCAGCCACATCCCAGATCAGCATCAGTCCTCTACCCTTTCATTTTGCCTTGAATGGCAGCTGGCAGCTTCATCCTCCCATCAAGCCTATCCACTGTTTTAGGACTGGAAGGTACCCACTCACTGTCTCCACCAGGAAGCCCCCAGCTATCCCCTTCAGTGGTTGCTGGGAGCCGTCTGCGCCCCAGTATCTGACACGGCTAAACACTGCAATTGTGACAAATTCTGAAGCTCTGACTGAGAAACAGATACTGATTTATATCTTAAAGAATTTAAATTCCGCTTTGGATGCCCCCAGTAGGATGAAGATCTTACACCCCTTCTGATAGATATATCACAATAATTATATTTTATACACTAAAGGCAATTTTAGTCACACTACTAGTCTCTTAGTAAAGGTCAAAGTGCACACCCTATAAATCTTAAGATCCTGCTTAGCTAATAGTGTTTAGGATAATTGTTGAGTAGACATAGTCACTATAGGTAAAAGGATTAGCCTTAGTCACATAGTCACTATAGGTAAAAAGGATTAAAACACAGTTAAGATAAGTTGATCTTTTAGCATAAGAAAAAGTCAGGCTGTACCCTGGAGCATAAGAATTATGAGGAAGTAAAACCCTGATCTAAACTATGTAAAAGAACTTTTTACTGATGAGATAATGGTCACCTGCCCAATATAAAAAGGGGCATGCTGTAAAATAAAGTGAGACACTTCTCTTCTTGAAAAAACGCTCTTATGTCTCCACGCGTTTTCTTCTTCATTTTCCTCGCCGACTCCACCTCCACCTGAGGGAACCCCTGGACCCTGCGGGAGCTGGTCTCCCGCAAGTGGTGCTTGTCTTTATGCCTCCTCCCAGTATAATTGTTTAAGCACTCCCCTGTGTCTGGCACTATTCTAGGACCTACAACTCCACATTTCAGAAGAAGGGAATGTCAAGAGGATTTTCTTTACTTGCCTGGGGGTAGCAATACCTTACATTTCAACCACTAGAACAGGACTACAATTCACATGTTACTGTGCTGAGCTGAAAACGCCTTGAAAATGCAATTGCTTTATATGTGCACCACCAATACACGAAAACATTCATATAGAGAAGCAACACAAATGAACCACAAAGGGAAATTTAAATATACGTGTACCACCGACACATGACTATTCATATAGAAAAGCAATTCATGGGATGTGGAGTACAGCATAGGGAACAGAGTTAATGGAATTGTAACAGCTATATATGAAATCAGAGGGGTAGTAGATTGGGGGAGGCGGGTTATCATTTTGTGAGGGGTGTAAATATCTAACTATTACATTGTTTTGTACACCTAAAACGAATTAAAGAAAGAAAACGAAAAAGAAAAGCAATGCAGATGAACCACAAAGGGAAATGTAAATGTAATATAACACTAAGGTTTTGACCTCCCCTGAGATTAAGTTTTACACTATCAATTGTTATAATGGAAGGATAAACTTTGCCCTGTATTTTGGAAGAAAGCAAAAATTTCAGATCTCTTTGCAAGATCTAGCATCTTAGGGAACTATTTGCCCCATTTTCTTCATTCTGGACTTTAGCTAATGTCAAGTGGGCAGCATGTTTGAGGCATGGGAGTGTGAGGAATCAGAAGGCCCCTAGAGCAGAATGCCTGGTTGTAAGGGCCTCGACATCACATAGTCATCTGGAGTCTCATTTTCCAAAAATACCTTGTTACCTGCACGTAAGTTGGATACTGTGTTCCAATGTGTACTACCATTTCTTTATCTTCTGCTTTTGGGATAGCCAACACAGTTTGCGTTTCCATGTAAAAATGTTCCTGTCCTTCCGCATGGACCTCACCTGTAAAACATAAACACAGGACAATGTTTACTTGAAAGTCCCAACTTGGGGGCTCTTGGTGGTATTTGGTTTATAAAAAGTGAGTTGCTTCAGCTTATGGAGAACTGAACTTTATATCATTTGGTTAAATCATTTTTTTCTAATTAATCCTCACTCTGCCCAACCAGCCAGCTACATGGCCCTGGGTAATTCACTCCCTTTTTCTTGGCCTCAGTTTCCTCATCTGCTTCGTGGGGTGGTGAGATCTGTGATGGGCTGGACTTGAGCGCATAGACTAACCTGGCCACGTGTCCAGGCTGTCATCTCTTTGCTCAGTGAGCTTGACCAAGTTATTAAACCCTCATTTTCTCATCTGTAAAATGGTGGGTAATAATAACATTACCTCAATTAGGTGACATTAGGATTATTGAATCACAGAGGGGATATGTAGCTTGCTAAAGGACACAAAGGTTTAAAATGGCAGAACTGTTCCCTACACTAAAACTAGCTGTTCTTACTGGTTTATCTGAGATTTTTGGCTTGTTTAATATATCCTTATCATTTTGTAGGACGTAACAAGAGAGGTATTTGGCCCTAGTTTAAATATTTGGAAGGCAGTGTTTTAACTTTAAAACTAGCCAAAAGATTCCCGTGTTGTTAAAATATGTGAATTGTTTTGCCAGGAGTCAAAGGATTTCTTGAAACTATTTCTTGGGACAATAGAATATGAGTCACACAAAAAGCCCTCCAAAAAAAAATCTTTGCACGTATATACTGAGTTTAATCTAAACCCAAATTAATTTAACAATTGCGATTTTTACAATACGCTGGGTATTGCTCTAAGGCTTAGCACTTTGCAGATAATAAATTCATTTAATCCCCATAACAACCTTCTGAAGCAGGTATTACTAGGAAACAGACATTGTAAAGTTAAGTAAGCTGTCCAAGGCTACACAGCCAGTAAATAACAGAGCTGGCATTCAAACTGAGGCAACCTGAGTTCAGGATCCACGTTCTTTACCACACCGTTTCTCTATGTTGACATACTCTGCCCAAGCTCCAAATTTCCTTCATATTTCAAATTTCCCACTTGTGCCAAAATTTTGAACTCCCACAATGGCCAAAATCCTGAATGACAAAGAGCTAGCACCTTGTTATTTTGATACCCTTAGGGTAGATATAAAAATTAAAAGAAAATATACTATTGTGGTTAAGAGCAAGGGCATTTGGGTCAGGTAGTCCTGGGCTCCAGTTCTAGTTCTATTGCTAACTAGATATGAGACCTCAACCAATTACTTAACTTTTCTAAGCCTCAGTTTCCTCATCTGTAACATAGAGCTACCAATATATTTGTCCTCAGAGTTTTTCTGCTGATATATTTAATAGCAAGCAGCAAATACTTAGAAGCTTAAAATAGGTTTAATAATACTCATTTCTTAGGGTTGATGTCAGGATTAAATAATACATGTAAAAGACTTAGCATCATGTCTGGCACAGTAAGTATTTGATAAATGTCACCTGGTATTATTATTATTACTAACCAACCTTTGGCCTAAATTTATAGGCTTTGTAAAATCTCATTTAGTTTCCTTTATGAAGTAATGAATATTTGGCATAAGTAGTGGATACTGTCAAACCTCTGAGCATCTCTCATGACTTTCCTGGTTATATCTAACTACTATTCTGAGGCAGTGAATTCTTTTTTATAATTGGAAGGCAGTCTACATTTTTTGCTTAAACAAAATGGTGTTGGGAAACAAGTATTCTAAAGGCATTTCCCATGTTTTAGTAAAAGATAAAAGCTTATAGCCCTTGCCATTCCAGTTACTTAGAAGTAGGTAATAGATCCTGTGAAAATCATTATTTTTCTCTTACCTAAGACCAAGAGTGATACTCTTGGTAGAGACAGCTGGGGTTCTTAACTCTGGCCACACCTTAGAATCACCCACCTTGGGAGCTTTAAAAAAAAAGTGCTGATTCTGTGACCCAGTACTACAAGGTTCTGATTTCATTGAGATCTGGATATTGGTATTTTAAAAAATCATACTAGCTAGGTCTTAGCCTGTGCAGTAAGTCAGAACAAACAAATAATAGTATCAAGATTAGGAAAGATAAATAAAACTGTTATGATATGATTGTATACATAGAAAATTCAAAAGAACCTATAAGACTATTAAAATAGTAAGTAAATTCAGCAAAGTAACTAATTGTGTTTTTATATATTAGACACAAGTAAGGAGAAAATTAAATAAAAATATCATTTACAGTAGCATCATAAAACATGAAATACTAGGAATAAATATTAGGGAGCATGTGCAAGATCACTATAGTGAAAACTACAAATTTACGAAGAGGAATTAAAGTAAACCTAAATAAAAGGCAAGTTCCAATCCTGTTCATGGATTGGAACTTACTGTTGTTAAGATTTCAATTCTCTCAAATTGATGTTGTTTCAATGAAATCCCTGTCAAAATCCCAGCAACTTATTATTAGCGGAAATTAATGAACTGATGATAAACCTATATAGAAATGCCAAGAACCTTTAATAGCGAAAGTCATATTGAAGAAGACATAACAAAAGGGTCTTACATGATCAGATTTCAAGACTTGCAGCAAGTAAGATAGTCTGATATTAGCACAAAGATAGATAAGCAGATGAGTTCAGAAATAGAACAACATATATGTAGAAACCTGGAAAACAAGAAAAGCTGCATTGCAATTCAATAAGGGAAAAAATAGTCTTCAATAAGTGGTACTAGGTCAATTGGATACTCACTTGAAAAAAATTGAACCTTGACCCATGTCTCACATCATACAGAGAAATTAGCGTGAGATGGATTACAGATATAAATGTCAAAGCTAAACATTTTATCAAGCTTCTAGGAGAAACCACAGGAAAACATCTTTGTGACCTTTGAATAGGCAAAAATTTCTTCATGGTACAAAAGCACTAACCATAAAAACTCATAAATTAGACTTCATTAAAATCATGAACTTTTATTCATGAAAAGGGACCATGAAAACAGTGAAATGCAATCCTCAGGCTGAGAGAAGATATTTGCAATACTCATAACCAGCAAAAAATTCATATCAAAAACATAAAACCTCCTATAAATCAGTAAGTAAATTATTATATTATTAATTATATCAAAATCAATAATATATAATTATAATTAATGATCATTTTAAATTTAACTAATTAAAAAAACAGGCAATAGCCTTGAACAAACATCTTACCAAAGACCATATTAAAATGGCCAACATACGTATGAAAAAGTTGCATCATTAGTCATTAAAGAAATTCAATTAAACCCACAATGATACTACTATACACCCATCAAGCGCATAAAATTAAAAAGACTAACAATAACAACTGAACAATGAAACTTTCATAATTGTTAATAGTAAAAATTGAAATGATTTTTTAAATGTTTGGCATTAACTTCTAAAGGTAAACATATAAAAACACTATTATTTGATAATTCTACTTCTGGGTATATTCCATTGGAAATGAATGCGTATGTTCACCAAAAGATGTGTGTAATAGTGTCGATGTAAAAGCATTTAAACCCATAGAGAGTTTTTATGAGTTTTTTTGAGCCAAACTGACGACATTGCTGGGAAACAAGATCTCAAATGCTCCAGAAAATAACAGTTTTGTAGTTTCTTTTATACATTTGGAATTTAAGAAGGGAACCTAAGGAAGATTACATAAAGGTGGGAGAAAGTAAAGTGGGGATTGGGTTACACTCAACCTTTACAGGATAGTTAACAAGATTATGTGCTTCCTTGAGGGTGGTTTGAAAAAAAAAAAAGGCATTTCAAAGGTGTATTAACCTAGATATATAGAAACAATGGACAGGGCTTGCTTAAGGCAAAGAGAAACCTTTTACTAAAGAAGTTGCCATATTTTGCCGTGTATAATGCGCTCCTGTGGATAATGTGCACTCATGTTTTTGGCCCAAACTTGCAGGGAAAAAAATCTTTCGTTTTAACTTTTTAATTCAAATTTTTATTTGTTTATATTTAGATGCTTGTTTTTTTGTATTATAAAGGAATTTTAGCATTTATTTTTTAACATATTATGCTACAAGAAATTTTATGTACCGGTAACAAATGTACGATATTTACGCATCATAGAAGGCCAAGAACTCTTCATCGTTGCAAGTTTGTCGTAATGAGATAGAAAAATTATAGGCAGTCAGGAAAATGGCCTCGGTAGAAGGAATTAGGGAGGGAACCATAACAGAGCCAGGAGAAATAATCTTAATAGCTGACTGATAGGTTAAATCACAGGACCCCGCCAGAATGACAAACTTGGGAGGGGAAGAAGGAGATTTTTTTTTTCCCCTCAAAGCCTATAGAAAAGAAGTCAGAAGTTTCCCCTCCAGAGGGGGGATTAGGACACATTAGTAAACATAACATAAGGCAGTCAGGAACTCCCTGATAGAATGAGCAGAAGACAATGATATCTTCAAAGCCCTAGTCTTGAGATAACATAATCCTATCAGTACATAGACATCAATTACACTCTGAGGCAACTAGACAGTTTAAAAGGAGTAGTTCCCCACCTAATGCGGGCACCCCGGTCAGGACCCCCTCTCATTTTGAGAGCTGTAACTTTCTGCTCTAATAAAACTATCCTCTGCTATAAACTTTACTTCTCTGGTCCGTGTCTGCATTTTTCAGCTTCATGAGACTACGAGCCCAGCACAAGAAATATTCTACATCAGTAAGTTCAACAAAACTGGTTATCATATTCCATGGTATTATTTTGCATATGGATATCGTTATTGATTTCTAGAGTTATGCTTTTAAATCATAAGCATAAATAAAAGAATTAAAAGCATTTATATAGGTACGGAAATAGTACTATACATGTATAATGTGCATCCTTATTTTTCCCTCACAAATTTGGGCAAAAAAGTGCACATTGTACACGGCAAAATACGGTATATGCCTGGGGTGTGACTACCCATCATGACTTGCCCAGTTAGGAATTTATTATTAGATCACCTTGTAAGGTTACTTTCAGTTACATTTATAATGGCCCCCAGTTTTCATCCACAGTAGTATTTTTAGAAACTTTATTCATAATAGTTCCAAGTTGAAAAACAACTCAAATGTTCATCAACAGTAGAATAGATAGTGTTATATTTATACAATGGAATACTCCTGGACAATGAAAAAGAACTACTGATCTATGCAACAACATGGATGAATCTTCCATACATAAAGTTGAATAAAAAAAGCAGGCACAAAAGAAGTTACATTCTAGTTTTCATTTATATGAAGTTCAAAACAGGTAAAACTAATCCATAGTGACAAAAGTTAAAATAAGACCTTTTGGAAGGTTACTGACCTAAAGGGGGCACAAGGAAGCTTTCTGGGGTCCTGGAAATGTTCTTTATTTTGATGTGGATAGTATTTATTAGACTTCTACCTATGTAAAATTTCATCAAGCTGTAAACTTATTATTTGTGCATTTTAAATTATGATTTAAAAGTCACACTAGAGTTGAGAAGTTCTGACTCAGAGTTTCAGTATTTCTCAAACCAATTAATTGAATCTAGAGTCTTCAACCTCAGAGGCTTCACTTTTCTGGCCCAAGACCACTTACCTTCAATGATTTGATCAACATGTTTAAAGGCTTGCTCTATATTTCCTTGCTCAATTTTTTTCTCAACAGTAAGAAATGAATTGTGCTCTAGGGCTTGCTGCAGGGGAAAAACAAACAAACAAACAAAAAAAGTTGTTTTTTTTTTCCATTCTAATAAGCCAGTCCCCCCCCCCATTCTTGACTTCATTAATAACAAATAACAAATGCAAAAATGACAGCTAATACTTGAATGAATGCGTTCTACATCCTGGGTGCTGTTCTAAGCATTTTACTTGGATTCCTTCATTTAAACCTCACAATAAACTTTGGTTGTAGGTATTTTCATAGTTCTCATTTTACAGAAAAGGAAGCTGCGGTATGAGGAATTGAAGTAATTCGTCAAAGCTTTCATTGCTATTATCAGATATGAATCTGAGTATCCTGTCTCCAGAGCTTGTGCTTAAGCAGGAAGTGGGCAGGAAGGCAGAGGACCCAAGGTGTAATTCAGTGAATGTTAAACTATCCTGAGTGTCACAGTGTTCTGGAGTTTTCTCACTGGCTAGTTTTGTATGTGAGGCCATAAGGACCCTCCTCTTGTGTAACTTTTCTATATTCTTAGGCTGTGCCTTGGCAAGAGGCCATGTGAGAAGGGGACAAAAGAAGGAAAGGGGCTCCAGGCAGGAAAATTCTCAGTATTATGTCTGAAAGTGCAGATTGCTTGTACCTTCTCTCTAAAACTATAGATAACACTGAAAAAGTATGGATGGAGCCCAAATTATACTATTTTGTGACTCCATGGCCCAAATCTGCCAAAAGTACATCACTGTAGTCATTCTAGAACACCCAGAGCGGCCCGAATACCTCTATCGTGATAATCCTCGGTTCTATGTCTTCATAAGTGATCTTCACTTTTTTAGCAGCCTCTTTTGCGTGAGCAAGGGTATCGGCAGCTACAGTGCAGACTATCTGACCCACACAAATTACCTGCAGAAAAGCCACACATAATTAGCTGACACATAAATTAATCCTAACAAGAATTCATTGTTCCCAAATTCTTACTTTTACCCACTGGGTTCTTGTGACCAAAAGAAAGATTATTTTCTACCTATGAGGATAAATTGAGTGGGATTTAGGGGGTAAAAAATTGGATGCAGAACTTAATTATCTGGCCTAGGATTATCTTCAGCCACATTTCTTACCATTCCCACATGACATACTGTAATCCAGTCGTCCTGAAAATCCTGAAATTCTGCTGTTTTTTTTAATGTCCTATGCTCTATATTGCTTCTATGACTTTTATGACTTTTTTAGAAGCCTTCCTTGAGAGGTCTTATGGCTTTTATCAGAATCTCAAAAGGGTCCACAATTCCAGAGAGAATTTGAGCGTCACTGAGGTGGAGTCATTGGTTCTCTGCAAGTCTTTGTGAGGTAAAAATGAACCTTTGGATGTTATGGTCATAATCAAGAACCGTCTTGGCATTTTCAGCAAAGTATTTGAATAATAAGCCACACACAAATCACACACCTCATTTTCTGCATAGAGAATCTCTTTGTTATGGTTATTATCTCCTGGAACATCCTCTGCTCTTATCACATCAACAACACCTGGAAGTGCGAGGGCTTCTGAAACATCAATTAATCTAGGAGGGAAAATGTAAAAGTACACAATAAGTTGCAGGGGTAAGTTCAGGGTACAATATAAATGATTCCTCAAACACAGGACCTCATAACTAAATCATAGGGCAATATTCTACGTTGGTGTTCTGATTCTTGGCCATAGATTCTTTCATAACTATTCTTAAAAAATTACTGATGAGCGGCTGGTTGGCTCAGTTGGTTAGAGCATGGTGCTCATAACACCAAGGTTGCCAGTTCGATTTCCACATGGGCCAGTGAGCTGCGTCCTCCACAACTAGATTGAAAACAACGACTTGACTTGGAGCTGACGGGTCCTGGAATAACACACTGTTCCCCCCCCCCCCCAAAAAAAAAGACTGATCCCCATCCAGACGAGGAAATGAATACTCTTAATTGACTTAATTATATAATAATCTCTCAATTTAAATATGAAATTGTTAATGCACTTCAGTAATGTATAGGAATATCTTTTATTTCCTTACGTGATTTTTGCATGAGCTCTGGTGCTGGTGACTGGAGCCAGGAAGAGTTCTTGGGCAATGGGGGGCATGTCATCAACATACACAGCTTCCCCTGTGGTGTGTTTAATGGCTGACTGGTGCATGACTGGGTGGCCAACAGGATCTTGTGGGGGCTGGCGGGGATCCACACACTGTTAATGAACAAAGCACATTATTTTACTGCCAGACATTCTCATGCACTGAAAATTGGGTCTGATATATCTGGCTTTCTCACAAATCAAGAAAAACTAGAGGCAATTGGGTATCCATATCCATGAGTCAAAGTTAATAAATATTCATTGAGTATTACAGTAAAGAATATATTCTGGTTAAAGCTCCCCTAACAAAAAAAAGGGAAGACATTGTTCTTGTCCACAAGATTTTACAACCTGGTTCCCGAATCAGAACACACACAAACACACATTAAAATAATGTGATCAAATTCACAAAGCAATAAAGAATAATTTGTACAACTAATATGGTACAAGGAAAATGCAGTTTCCTGGGAGATTCAGGGTGACTACAATAAAGTAGGGAGGCTTTCTAGATGCAGTAAATGTTGAGTCAGGTTTTAAAGTAAGGACTGACATTGGCCAAGAAAAGGAGGAAATTTTAAGCTACAAAACTGAAAACGGTGAAGAAGGGAGACTCAAAATCGAATTTCTTGTGTAGTCGAGTAAAAGCATAAAAGCTAAACAAAACAAGTTGTGTGTAGGTGACAATGGATAACATCATCTGACTTTAGCAGACTTCATCTTTACAAGTAATGCAAAATATAGCTATTGACAAAAGGGAAATACATGCATAGTGCATACATCTGAATGAATAAACAGATTAAAAAACAAAAACCCTACCCACCAACCTGGAACATCTGAAGTCCTTGAGGAGTATTGATGGGGAAATCTTCCAGGGCACTCACGAACTTTTCTGGGATATCAGGAAACTTCTGGGGATCCTGAAAACAATATTATTTCACATTTAATTTTACAATCTGAGTGACTATTTTGGAAAAACATATGTAGAAATAGGATTATCCAATTTGTTCCCCCAGATATTAGATGTCAGTTCTGCTGGGAAAAAAACCCCTGAGATTCAAGTTCCCTAGACTAGTAGCAGTTGTTTGAAGAATAACTACATCTACTTATGTACACAGAAAAGTGAATGTTATTTCCAGGAAGTGGAGGCTTCCCTTCACAACAAGGTTTCCTTTTGAATGAGTGGAAATATGCATATTTGTAAATGGACTCTGTGCTTTCAAATCCAGGCCAATCTTTTGGGCACATATCTCAAAGAAATGATTGAGGGAATGGGAAAATTACAGATTATTTGTGATAGTGAAGAAAATAGAATTAAATTAAATATCCAACAACAGGGAAATACCTAAACAAATTATGGTATATCCATAAGATATAATATTCTTCAGTCATTAAAAATAATTTTGTAGAAGTGTAGTTATTGACATTGAAAAATGCCCATGAAGTACAGTTAAGTGAAAAAAATGGATTACAAAACTTTGTGTACAGTATCCTATTTTTTATTGAAAATATAAATCTATTCAAATGTTAATAGCAGAATTACTGGGTTAGAGTTGTTTCTCTGTATTTTGAATTCTTCTATAATGATAGAATACATAACATAATAGAATATGCAATATGTAAAAGAATATATGATAAAATGTAAAATAAAAAACATATTTAACAGAGTATGTATCTTATATATTATACTGATTATATATTAATATACTGAAAGTGTTATGTAATACATAATGGAGTATATAATAAAATAGAATATGATAATACTAACAATAAATAATGTTAATAAAAAAGGATTGGTTGAACTCAGAGAGTAAAGTTCTCAGCCATAAAAGAAATGCGGCATAGTCATTGTCTACCATTTTTGAGTCAGCTCATGATTTATCAAGAGGATACTCAGTCATGGACCATATTTTGAGAAACACTGCTGTGGAAATCATTTAAAACTAGGCTACATAAGAAAAAAATAGTTAACAAAAAACTAGAAACAATCTAAATGTCTAAAAATAAGGAATAGAGCAAATAATAGTACATCTTTCCATAAACATGCCATACAATCATTATGTCATGATGTCACTGAAGAATATTTAATGACACTGAAAGATGTTTGTTATTAAGTGAAATAAGCAAACAATACTAAACAGTTCTATAGATATATATGTGTGACAAATATACATTCACATCCATAAAGAAGGGTTTAGAAGGATACAAATCAAGATACTAATAGTGACTAACTATGCTGATGGGATTACAAATGATTTTCTCTTCCTTTTTGGCTTATTCACATTTTCTTAATATTAAAGAAGGTATTTAAAAAAATTTTTTTTAAAGATTTTATTGGGGAGTTAGGGGAGGGGAACAGTGCTGGGTAATCGGTGGAAGGGGAACAGATAAGTTGCTGTCCTTTTGTTCTTCAGTCTAATTGTGGAGGACGTTGCTTCACTGGCCCATGTTGGTATCATCGTTGTGCTCTTCCCGAGTGAGGCAGATTGGTCGCTGGCCTCTGGATGTCCGCTCAAGGCGGCTCTTGGCAGCTCATATCAGCTGCCGGCCACTCACGCTGGCTGCCGGCCACTCATGGTAGCTTATGGCAGCCCACTGCAGCTTCACTGCAGCCTACGCCATCACCGGTGACTCATGGCAGCCCAGCTCCAGGTCGAGCTGTTGTTCACCATTTTAGCTGTAGAGGGCAGTGTCACTGGCCCTCATGTGGAATCCGAACTGGGGCCCTGCTTCTCAGAGCTGGTGTCCCAAACCAGCTTTTAACCAATGTGCCACTCGGCCAGCCCAAGAAGGTATTATTTTAACAAGAAAATTTTCTTTAAAATAGGAGAAAATGTTATAATCTACTTACTGTAGGATTTTTGCTACTGTAGGTCAATTTGATATTGCATATTAGTATTTGTCACACAAATTATAGGGCAAATGGAATAACAAGGTTGTCTCCTCAGTTCAGGAATGAAGAAAAAGGGCGAAGGAAGGAGACGAACAAAGAAGGGCCAGGAGGAAGCTGCTGGAGCACCACACTGAGGGCCCCATTCCTGGTATCCTTGATGTATTATCAAAACCAAGCAGGGAAAGTCTTTCATGTGCAGACCTGCGCTCAGAATGTCAAGGTACCCAGAGACCCAGAGAAGTCATTTACCATTTTATTCAGCCCTCGCCTCACTTTGAGGTAGAATTTGAAGAGTAAGCTGATGATGAGGGATCGCTTATATTCTACCATGCCACCCTCAGCTGCTGGTGGAATGTAAATCTCATCCAGGACCAACTGGCATGCATCGCTCAGCATTTGGTCATCCCATTGTCTGGAAGAAAAAAATGTAAACATTTTACAGAAGAGGCAAAGACAGGCTAAACAAATAGAGCAAGGGAAGATGGAGAGCTGCCAGTATCCATCTTTGAAGTCTACACAAAATAACCTCAAGTATTTCACTGGCTTTCTTTAAAATCTGATGCAGTGGTTCCCCAAGTTTTCCGTACCTGGTCCTCCTTTATTATTATCTTAAATCTTTTTATTATTTTTACTTTTTTATTGAGATATAATTGACATGTAACATATTAATTTCAGGTGTACAATATAATGATCCAATATTTGAATATTATATTGTGAAATGATCACCACAATAAGTCTAGTTAACATCTATCACCAGAATTACAAAATTTCTTTTCTTGTGCTGAGAACTTTTAAGAGCTACTCTCTTAACAACTTTCAAATGCATAAATCAGTATTATTAATTATAGTCACCATGCTATACAAATTCCCATGCATTATTTCTTTAATAGCTGGAAGTTTGTAGTTTTTAACCCCCTTCACCCACCAGAACCACCAATCTGTTCTCTGTATCCATGGCTTGGTTTTTGTTTTGTTTTGTATTCCATATACAAGTGAGATCATATGGTATCTGTTCTTCTCTGTCTGACTTATTTCACTTAGTATAATTCCCTCAGGGTCCATCCATGTTGCAAATGGCAAGATTTTCTTCTTTTTCATGGCTGAATAATATTCCTGTGTGTGTGTGTGTGTGTGTGTGTGTGTGTGACAATACATATATCACTATATATATTAAATATCACATTTTCTTTATCCATCCATCCATCCATCAGTGGACACTTAGGTAGCTTCCACATCTTGGATATTCTACATAATGATGCAATGAACATGAGGGTGCATGTATCTTTTTGAGTTGGTGTTTTCATTTTCTTTGGATAAATACCCAGAAGTGGAATTGCTGGATCATATGTTAGTTCTATTTTTAATTTTTTGAGGTGCCTCCAAACTGTTTTCCACAGTGGCTGCACCAAATTACAATTACACCATCAGTACATGAGGGTTTCTTGTTTTCCACATCCTTGACAACACTTATTATTTCGTGTCTTTTTAAAAAAAAATATTTTATTGGGTAATTGGGGGAGGGAATTGAGGAAGGAGATAGACAAGTTGGAAGTTGGTATTATGATCATTGCACTCTTCCTGGCTGAGGCAGATCGGTCGCCAGCCATTGGACGGCTGCTCACAGCTGCTCACGGCAGTTCACGCTGGCTGCCGGCCACTCACGGTAGTTTACTGCAGTCCACTAAAGCCCCACTGCAGCCTATGCCGTAGCCAGCGACTCACGGCAGCCCAGCTCCAGGTTGAGCTGTTGATCACCGTCTTAGCTGTAGAGAGTGTAGCGTCGCTGGCCCATGTGGGATCCCAACCCAACTGGCTGCCCTGCTGCTCAGAGCTTGTGATCCCAAACCAACTCTTAACCAATGAGCCATTCGGCTGGCCCCCTATTTCTTGTCTTTTTGATAATAGTCATTCTAACAGGTGTGAGATGATATCTCATTATGGTTTTGATTTGCATTTTCCTGATAATTAGTGATGTTGAGCACATTTTCATATACCTGTTGGCCATCTGTATATCATCTTTGGAAAAATGTCTATTCAGATCCTCTGCTGATTTTAAAATTGGACTCTTTGTTTTTATTATTTTTAGCTTCATGGCCTGGGAATGTTGACCTTAAATAGCTTGGGTAATAAAAGTATGAAAATCAAGTTTCCTGAGATCTGGGACTTTATCTTCAATGCTGTATCTCCAGCAACTAGACCACACCTGGCACACACACTCTACAGGTTATGACTGGTAAATGACCGAATTATTGATGATGATTGTAAAATATTTCACAAATGAAAGTTTCTATATAAAAGCTGTGGAAGCATCAAGTTATTTTAGTATCTGAGAAAAAACTTGCATTAAGTTCTAATTATAGACAATGAGTTTGATGGGTGGATAAAAAGTGTTATAAAAGCGCTAGTTGGAAGAATTTAAAAAACTTAACTTTCCAAATGCTGGAAATAATGAAAGTGACAATTGGAAGGCCATTTAACCTTTTGGAACATTTCATCTACTTTATGAGGTTTAAGGACATTTTCAGATGTCTTAGGACACAGTATTGGAAACATTTACTTATTTTGCCGGTTAATTAAAAGTGAAATTTTGAAAATATCTACTTAGATTTGTATGTGCATTAATGTTATTATAGAAACTGTAATAAAAGAATTATTGTATCTTGAAGAAGATTGGCTTTTGGGTGACTTTCATTTTCTTTCCACTTTTCTACTGTGCTTAAATTTTAAAAATGAATATATATATATATAGATAGATAGATAGATAGATAGAGAGAGAGAGAGAGAGAGAGAGAGAGAGAGAGAGAGTAATATATATATTGTAATCAGAAAAAATTTTCCAAGTTCTATTTTCATTAAAATAGAAAGGCCTGAGTTTCATGTTCCGGATGTGCTATGACGTACCTCCCAATGAGCAGCTTGCAGGTTTGGCTTGCAGAGACCACGGTGGGGCCAACACTTCCATAAAACATTTGAAGATCCTTGATTGTGTCTGTGCCATCTTCAAACTTCACACTCATCCCGGCATTGACAATGGCAAAGGCATTCTCCTGACGTTGGGCCAGCCTCATTCCTGACACAAATTGCCACTGGAAACAGAGACACACTCAGAATCTTTAGTGTTTATTTCCACTGTCTGATGAACAGAAATAACTTAGAGGATTATTCATAATGAAAAGGATCCTGTGAATGAACATGAGTTCTCACATAGGTACTATTATTGACTATGGAGCTGACTGTATGTGAGTACTGGGCTACGTGCTTTAGACGTACTAATATTTAATCCTCGCAACAACTCGACTCATTTCCAATTTACTGATGAGGAAACTGAGAAATTAAGTAACTTGCACAAGGTCACACAGTAAGTGGTAGAGCTGGGGTTCAAATCCAAACAGCCTGGCTCCAGAGTCTATACTTTTTACTTTCAACTCAGAATCACTACATATGGCCTCGGGCAAGTAACTTAAACTGTTCCAGTCTTAATTTTCTTTAAAATGAGAAAGTTGGGTTTGATTAGAGGGTGCCTCAGGGGCTGCTGAGAGGGATGAGGGGAAGATCAGGATGTGAGGTACTTCTCAGAGTAAACTACCACACTTCCACTTTTTCTTTCTTTTTTTTTTTTTTTAAAGATTCTATTGGGGGATTGGGGAAGGGGAACAGTGTTGGGGAATTGGAGAAGGGGAACAGCCAAGTTGTTGTCCTTCAATCTTAGTTGTGGAGGGTGCAGCTAGCTCAGCTCCAAGTCCAGTCGCCATCCAGTCGCCCGTTGGCAGTTCGCGGATGCTCAGCTTAAGGTGCCGTGTTCAATCTTAGTTGTGGGTGGGCAGAGCCCACCATCCCATGCGGGAGTTGAACCAGCAACCTTGTTGTTAAGAGCATGTGCTCTCACCAGCTGAGCCATCCTGCCACCTATTGGCAGCTCAGCGGCAGCTCAGCTCAGGCGCAGCTTACTGGCCCATATGGGAATGGAACCGGCCACCCTATTGCTCAGAGCTCATGCTCTTAACCAACTGAGTCACTTTGCAGGCCTGACACACTTCCATTTTTAACTGTTTCAATTTGGTGGTCTTCGTAAATTTTATTTGAATAAAGAGTTCTGTTAAAAAAAAGCTTGAAATCCACTGGACCAAATGGTCTCTAAAGTGCTTTCCAGGTTTAAATTTGTCATTCTAGATTAAATCTCCTTTCTAGTATGAAACATTAGAGTCATAAGATGAGAAAGCTTCTTTGTGCGGCTATATCTTGGTGGGGGATGGGAGAGAGGTTAATCCCTACCATCATGGACCCTGTCAAAGATAAAACATTTTCTATATGAAAGCAAAGGTGATAAAGAAGTGTTTGAGACACACATCATATTTACTCTACTGTACTGATTGGTGAGACTTTCTTTTCCATTTCTGCTGCCCCCACCCTCGTTACCTTCTCTCACTTGAATTATTGGATTAGCCTCCTAACTGTTCATTCAACCTTCAGTCTATCCTCCAACCAATTTATCCTCTATCTTTCCAGAGGATTGATGGTCTTAAAATGCCAGTTTCGTTAAGATGTTACCTTGCTTTAAAGCCTTCAGAGGTGGCTGTCTGCTGGAACACACATTGTCAGAAAAGCCACGACGTATTTTTTCTATGTTTTTTTGTTGCAAAAATGCTTCATGACTTTTCCGACAACCCAATACAAACTCCTTGGTGGAACAACAGAGATGGAGCCCCAGACTGGCACCCAGCCTCATCTCCTGGGGCTTCTCCAACCACCTTGCCCTGCTGCCTGGCCTCCGACCTGCCTTTCTTCCTCGACCTCCCACCTTCATGCTGTTCTCCCACCTGGAATGACCATCTCCCTCTCTCCACTGATTTATGCTTGATCTCAACTGCTTTCCTTGCCCTTTGAACAACACCGGGGAGGGCTCTCCTCATCACCAGAACTATTCCAGCTGTTTGTCCACTCATTTCCTGTCTAAGATGATTAGTTTTTCCTATTTCAAGCCCTTTCTCTTAGATTTAGAGACTTTCAAGGGCAGGACACCATGTCTTATAAATCTGTGTAGTGTCTTCTGGGTTTAGGACTGTGTCTGGCATGTAGAGTGGTGGGCAGGTAATAAATAAAACGATTTTATTTTAAAAGTTTGGTTATGTATACCAACTATATTTAAATTAAAAAATAAACAATTAAATTAAATAACAGAAAAAAAGTATTTGGTTAATAAATGTTGGTTGACTTGGACGTATTTTTATGATAATGAACTTTCAGTTTACCAGGAACTTGTTGTAGATGATGTTGACTATAGTTGTACTCAGTCTTGGCTAAGATGCATATTTATCTGAAACCAAAAATTCAACAACTCACACAAAAAGGCTCTCCTTTTACAGAGAGATAGGGCCCACAGATATGCTTTTCTTTTCATTTCTTTTAAAAACAAAATTAAAAAATGAATACAATAATAATGAATATATAACATTGAATGCAGCCTGCATTATATTCATCTTTATACTGATGCAGTCATTTATTTTATTTTATTTTTTATGGAGAAAGGGACCCATGAAGGCAAAAGTGCCTAGAGTCCACAAAAGTCCCACTGTGGGCCTGATATGAAAGCAAATCAAAGGGTCATCTGGGAATTTGCTGCTTCCGGAGAGCAACCCCAGTAGTCTCCCTGTAGCAGTTGGTTGGAAATGGAGAGGACACCATCCCCTGGAAGGCTCTCTGGGGCTCCTGCACAGGGCACTGGGTGAGCGGGGCTCCCTCGGGGCAGATGGCAGGTCAGGGAGTCCTTACCTGAGTGGAATGGGGAATATAAACAGATAACACAATCTCTTCCGATTTAAGGTTGGCTTCAGGTAATTTCTCAAGGAAATTGCCATCTAAAGGAATCTGCCGTTCTCCATCTAGTAGAGAAAATGACCTTGATTAGAATGAATTTATCAAATTGGAAGCCATGCAGGAAGAGACAAATGTGATATATGTGGTGGAAAGAGGGAGTGCAGGCTGGGAGCCAGAAGATGCAGGCTCTAGTTCCAGCTCCCAAGCTGAGTCACCCCAGGCAGCTCACAGAAGCTTTGGGTCTCCCTCATCTGCAGAATGACAGGGTTGGACCATATAAACTGAAGTCTTTTCTGGTTCTTAGAGCCCATTATATGCTACTCACAAATGTTGGCCTTGAAGAACTTTAAAGCTATGGGGGAACCACTTAGTACAACATAGGTTCACAAATGGAAAATGGGTACAATGTTTGGGTTGTCAGAAAAGTCATGGCATATTTTTTCTATGTTGTTCGTTGCAAAAATGCGTCATGACTTTTCCAACAACCCAATATTTCACAAATGGGAAAACTGAGGTCTAGAGGTCCAAAGAGGTTAAGTCACCTATCCAAAGTGCTAGAGGTGGGACTAGTAGCAGAGGTGGGGTACCTGATATATGCCTTTTTTTCTTTAAGCAGTTTACCATACTCTTTTATTTGATCCACCATATTTTTTTTAATGTGATTTTAATCAAAGAGAGGGTATCTTACATCAATAGCCCTATAAATAATACACATTGTTTGTATTTCCTGAAGTTTAAATAATTTTCCTTGGCAAAGCTCAAACTGCTTTTGAATAAAGAGAGAAGTCATGAGTCATATACCTCACAAACTTAATTTTGTTATAAAACGAAAAGTCCTAAAAGAAAAATTTCCACCTTTATGAAATTCTGAAATAAAATATGCCATAAAACTTTAAAACCACAGAGATACATCTCATTAATTTTTTGGTTAACTGCTTTGATACGATTTGCACTGTGCATAAATGTGGCCAAATAGTTAAGAAAAATTGTCAGGTGCAATAACTTATCTGATCTACAAGATATAGAGCATCTGGAGTACAGAATAATTGATCTTAGTTTCATCTTTACATTTGAGGTAATACAGGTATAGCTTATCTGTATTTGATAGTCTAAGTTAGATGCATTTGGGTTTCTAGTTCATGGTTAATGGAAGGAACTACCTAACTGACAGTGATAACTATAAAATAGAACGCCTAAAACGACATCTCTTACCTTTTGATGTCAGGTTGATGATAGCATTTCCTGCTGCTAAAATAGGATTTAGGTCAGAAAAATTAGGCCTGCTCACCACATGTCCTCCTAAAGTCTAAATAAACAAAGATAACATTCTTTTTAGATACACTTAATTATTTAACAAATAAGCAACCATATAGACAGGGATGTTGTGTAAGCTTTTAGTCCTGTTCTTTGCTTCACGGAAAGATCTGGCAGAGTTTCAGGGCTACTAAATAGATTTAGCCAACATATTGTGCAAGCTTCCCACCTCTGACTTCAGTGCAAACTTATTGCTTGAGAAAATATTTCTTTTTCATGTACAATAAGGAGGTAAATTTCCTTGAGAACTGACCCCAGTATGATTGTTCAATAACAAAGCGGGAGGTGGAGATTGGAGCTTCAGTAAACTCTAGAGAACCTGGATGTTTAACATTCACTTTCAAAATGTTTGCTGTGCTGCTGAGCCATAGAATTCTTCTCTGTTGCCCCAAATAGTCAATAAAGCTGCTTCAGACATAGCCTTGAATGAAGACTTTTGTTGGGAGTCAAGGAGGCAAGATGATGTTGAGAGGAAGAATATAGTCCAGAAAAAGAAACAGAAGATGCAGAAGGTGAAAACATATGGTGGATTTTGAGAGTCAACAGAAATGGGGCAAGAGTCAAGAGAAATGCCCTCCACCCCATTCCTGCTGAACAACACCCATCATGTGTGGAATGGGAAGTGGTTCGAACCAATTTCTCTTGAATCTTAAATAATGAGGAAACCTCAATAAGCTAGATCAGGGGTCGGCAAACTGCGGCTCGCGAGCCACATGTGGCTCTTTGGGTACGTTCCATCTCAAAAGTTTGCCCTGGGAGAGCCAATTCTGTCCCTCACAACAATTTAAAAATTATTTGAGAGCCATAAATATATTTTTACATAATCACCATTACGTGGATAATATCCTTTAACAATTTTATAAATGAAACTATGATAGTTTTATTTTCATTTTCAATTTTACTTCAGAGCCACAGTTCGCGAGCCGCAGTTTGCTGACCCCTGGCGGCTCTTCCGTCTCAAAAGTTTGCCGACCCCTGAGCTAGCTAACAGGGGGACATCCAAGAATAGACATATGGGACACACATGTTTAGAAACTGACCTTAGTACAAAGGTCTAAGAGGAGAACCAGACATAAAAGAGCATTTTGGAAATGTAGGCTCTTGTTTACTAAACCTTGGATAAGACGTGCTTCACAGACTGTTAGAGCTGGGCAGGATTTTAGAGACAATCCATTTGATCGACTCAGTTTTTAAAATGAAGGAAACAGAAGTCAAGTGGCTTCTCCGGATCATTCCACTCATAGGTGACAAGCTGGGATTGGAATTTGAGCATCTTCAGCCTCCAGGATCATAATCTTGCAATATAATATGATCTCCTCACTTTGGGCACACACATACGCACAATGTGACGCCTCTCACCCCGGGCTCCTACACACACACTCACACTCACACTCACGTTGCAGAGACTTATCTGACATTGACTTGGGATTCCTCTTCAGAGTAATGTTTGCTAAACTGAACAGAACTGTATGACAGTGTATAACTGCGGCTCATTTCACATAACATTAGAGAAAGTGAGGTAGAGTAAAAGCAGGGTTGGTTGCGGAAGATGAAAGGCAGGGTCAGCTGCTGAAATCTCAGCCCTTTTTGAAACTTGTGCTTGAAACTTATCATCAGATAATCTGCAGGAAAAACAAACAAACAAAAAGACCTCTGCCCTTTCACAGAAAATTCCTGAATATTCCTCCAACAAATTTCAATGTACAGCCCCTAATTCAGCCCCTAATTAAAGGAACACCAATAATAGGCTTAAACCCCAGCAGGAGTACTGCTGCTCTCTGTCTATGGACTAGCCTGCTTTTCTTTTTTCTTTGCTTGAAAAACTGATCCTTGCTTTGCCTTCGTTTTGGCTCCTGCTTGAATGTTTTCTGTGCGTTACCAAGAACCCGCTGGTCGTGGCCCCTTTTCCCGGCCTCCCTGGGCGGAGGCATCGCCTAGCCCTCCTGCAACAAACATACCGCCATGTTCCTAATCTGGGCTCCAGCAAGCGTCTTCAGATGCTTCAGGAGGGCACGGTAGGTCTTAGTCTTCTCCTTCGGTTGCTCCGAAACAATATAACCTAAGGCATCATTCAACTGGGCCAGGCTGTAGCCTGCACCTATTGTCACACCTGAAAATAAAATAGTGGAATAAAAACTTAAAGTCAACTGTAACACGATGCATAGATGGCATGGAAACAATCTTTCAAATATATCTTCTATTTTAGAAGATATATTAATTTAGAATGACAAAAAATAAAGATAAAGATATTTCTGGCAATTTGTCTTAGTCCCAAATATTAGGTACCCAAATCTTTTTCTCAGTCATGTACACAGTCATACATGCCATATATTTTAGGAATACCAATCATAGATGTCTGAAATTCATTCATTGCTTTGTTTATTCCCAAGTTAATGTTTTCCTGAATAAATTGATCAAATGTGAAACTTTCAGCCAAGATCTTATAAGATGTTTAAAAGATCATTAAGCCTAAGTAGGAATTGACCTGCAAATTCGCGTTGCTCATTTGCCGTTCTTCCACAGCCACCTGTTCCTATTGTTTCCTCATCAGAACAAAAATAGACACCTGCCTGTACTTTGGGTCAGTTTCACTTGCAGGAAATGTTTTGAGTAGTGATATCATCTAGTGCATGCATTCTCAAGGGGGCAATACTGCTCCCTACCGGGGTAAAAAAAATCATTATTTTTATGTATAATAAAGCTCTGATATACATCCTGTCTATCATAAACAGCTAAATGGTCAATCTGTGGTGTTAAAATTTCATGGAGGGATGCTTAGAGAAAACGTCCATCGCTCCTTAGAGAGGCAACAACAAAAAGACTGAAAAAAGCTGATTTAGTTCTACAGGTGCTACCTACTAGCTCAGCTCCTCCACCTCCACCGCACCCTAAATAAGTAACCTCTACACCTTCCTTCCATCCCTCTAGTGTACCAGCCTGGCCTTCCCTTGCTCCATCTCTTCCTGTGAGACCTTTGATAGGGACTTTTCAACAGGTAAAAAAAAAAATAATAATAATAACTAGACTGGTTTAATATTGGCAGATCAGAGGGGAAAGCAGACAATTTTCCACTTGATTTCTGCCTACTCTCTGGGAAGAACATTATTTTATGTAGGATATTTAGCTCCTACATCCTGTGATCTATTTAAATGTTGAGTTTGGGTAATGGATGGTAGGATATGTTTCTCAGATAGCCTTATTTAGTGCATTACGTGGAAGGAGTACTTGACTAGGAGTAAGATGACCTAGGATCTAGTTGTGACTTGATCATGTGTTAGCTCTGTGAACTTGGAGATGTTACTTAAGCCCTTTGTTTCCATATCTTCTTCAGGAGAGTGGAGATACCAAGGTAGATGCTATGTCTACCTCTCAGGGTTGTCATGAGGATAAAAAAAAAAAAGATATGAAAACACTTGGTAAATTGTGAAAAGAGTATAACATAAATAAGGTTGTTCACAGTTAAATTTTCAAATTTGTGGCCCAGATTTTTTTGTGTGTGAATATGTGTGGGTGTAGATGAGCCTTGAGCAAATTTGTGAATCACAGAGTAATGTCTTGCAAGACTCTTTCCTACTGGCTTGCTAATGTCTTAAGTCTTTTTTTTTTTTTTTTT